TGTTGAGGGTATTCTACAACTTGTCGTGGAATCGTTGGGAGTTCACATGGGAGAGAGACAGAAGATTCTGTCGATTGCCATGCATGTAACAACCCTGTTGTATGACGAGTGGTGAATTCCTTGTATCTGTCACTAAAGGGAAAACACAACTCGTCGAAGATCACATGGCGGCTAATATAAACACGACCTGTGGGAGGATATAAACATCGATATCCTTTATATTGAGGATGATATCCCAGGAAAACACATTGAAGTGACCGGGGCTCAAATTTGTGTTGACCATAAGATCGAAGGCAGGGATAACATGCCGATCCAAAAACCCGGAGATATAAGAAGGGACTTTGTTAAAAATAAGCTCATGTGGACTTTTGTTATTCAAAGAAGGAGAGGGAAGCAAATTACTGATGTAATTCGCAGAGTAATACGCTTCCACCCAGAACTTCAAAGGGGTCTTGCTTGTGTATAACATAGAAAGACTCAGCTCCGTTAGATGACGATGTTTCCTTTCAGAAATCCCATTCTGCTGAGGAGTGGCCGGGCATGATAAGAGATGTGTGATGCCATGCTGTTGAAGATGATTTCGAAACCGAGTATTAACAAACTCTCCTCCACCATCACTCTGAAATGTCTTTATTTTTTTTCCAAACTGGTTTTCAACTTGTTTTTGAAAGGCAATAAACACATCCACAAAATCAGACTTCATTTTAAGAGGAAACAGCCATGAATACCGTGAGTAATTATCCACAAAAACCACATAATATTTAAAACCTTGAACCGAGACAACTGGAGATGGACCCCAAAGATCACAGTGGATACGAGCATGGGGTTCCAAAACACTCGGTTCTGATGATGAGAAAGGAAGTTGAGTACTCTTTCCCATTTGACAATGTTCACAAACAGAAACAGTCATACTTTTATTAACTGAGATCGCCTTGCTTCCTTGGAGAAGTTGAAGAATCTGAAAGTTTGCATGTCCAAGACGTCTGTGCCACACCATATCACTAGCTGCACACTGCCGATTTGAGTAAAAAGCTACAAACTCCGGACTCTCCAACACATAAAGACCATCACGACGTGGTCCTTTTGTCACCACCTTCTGAGATTGTAAATCGATAACATACACAATATTAGCATCAAAGAAAACCCCACAAGGATAATCTTCACATAATTTGGAGACAGACAATAAAGACTTTTGCATTGTAGGACACACAAGAACGTCATTGAGAGGTATACTACCTGTGGTAGTGTTAAGGACAGTGGAACCAACATGAGTAATGGGAAGATATGCACCATGTGCAACCATTACTGTTTCAGAACCAGAATAAGGCTCTGCATCTTTGAGTTGAGTTGTTGTTGAAGTAATATGAGCAGAGGCACCAGAATCAGGAAACCATTCTCTTCCTGAATTATCAGACGTATGGATAGCAGCTAGAGCTTGTGGTACATCTTGACTCTGATAGGAGACATCAAAGCGGTTCCAACATCTAAGTGCAACATGTCCTTTTCGACCACAAATCTGACACACAGGTAGTTCATTAGATTGTGTTCCAGATTGATTGACCTGCTGCGTGAAACCTCGACCACGGGTTGAAAAATCACTACCACGACCACGACTGTTTCCAAACCGAGAGTAAGAACCACCACGACCTCGTTGAGAAGGTCCAAAGCGTTGTGTTTGAAAAGCCATATGCGGCGACACGTCCGTTGAAACATCATAAGATTGAAGCCGGTGATCAAAACCAGAGACATCAGAGACGACATCATTGAACGTCGGTGGTGGGAAACGAGACATAGAACTCTGGATGACAGTGGAGATCGGATCATACTCACGACCCAAACCGTTCAGAAAGGTAAAAATCTTCATCGACTCATCAACTGGCTTTCCAATGGAGCTCAATTAGTCACAGATCGAACGAAACTCTCGACTGTAAGTGAGAAAGTTTGAACCTTTAATAGAGAGTTGATGTAGACGTCTACGCAAATCAAACTCTCTAAAAACAGATTAAAATTGTCAGCAAGAGCCATCCAGACCTCGTGAGAGGTTGATAAAACATGAACATAACCTAAGACTTCCTCTGTTAGAATACCAAACAGCCATGAGAGAATAAGTTGATCAGTACATTGCCAAGCTTCAAAAACCGGATTAGGTTGGTGGACTTGCTCATTGTTGACTGTGATGAGAACAGTGGCCGGCGGAGGTGGAGTTTGACCGGTAACAAAGCCAAGAAGCTTCTGGCTACGGAGAAGAGATTCGAATTGGGTTTTCCAGAGTAGATAATTGGAATCATTAAGCTTAATTGTAACTGAACTGGTAACATGAAGATTAGACGGGAAAGGGAAAGGATCTTGAGCCTCAGCCATGACAGCACCGATTAGGGTTTATGAGAGCTCTGATACCATGTGAACAAAGAGAAGAAGTTTTTAGAACTGAATATTACAGGTTTTCATTAACCCTTTCACAATTACATGAGATTCTCTATTTATACAATGAGAAGGGATTCTAGAGTATTCTCATACAAAATGATCTAATCATATCTGTCAATAATCTAATCACTCTACAACGACAACAGTGAATTGTATTGATTGTGTAATACAATCTCTGCTCCCGCTCTCTCTGTTTTGGTGTGTTGGAGAAGACGCTCATGTTTATCGAGATTCTTCTGCTACTATAGACATGGGCTTCGTAGATCACTTGGGCTTGTGAAATTGTGTTATTACTTAAACCCACATTAATCCTCTTCTCGTTACTTGATATACTTTCATTTTAGTCAACATATTTATTGTCTTTAATTAATTGAGTTTGTAACAACAATTTGAAGATGGAATTAAATTTTATAACATAAAAATTCAACCATGATTTAATGGAGACAATCTGAATGTAGCTTGTTCGCTGTGTACATAGACAACCGAAAAGGAACGAAAAAGGAAACATTTAAGTGAGTAAGAGAAACAAAATAAACAAAGAAGAAATGAAAAAGGTAAAATTTTATTTCGAAAAACTGATATATACAATAAAAAAAAGTGAAATAGAGTAAGATTTATAATGAATGTAAATATCATTGATTATACTATCTTATATATCAGATATCATATGGTGTGTAAATATATTTACAGTTTTTAGCATATTGTGCTGATTCACTGTGCCAGAAAGCGTGTGATATTTGTTAGAGACGTAATGTTTTGTGTGTTTGGTTGCCGAGTTCTCACATGGCGAAGCTCGGAACTAGAGCTGACTAATCCTAATGGTAAGCAGGATCATTGGCACCAGCTAATAAAATAATCTCAATGCATACTTAGGAATTGAGTATTCGCATGATCACGTTTTAAAATAATTGGTACAAAATCAAAAAGTGAACTAGAGTCTCTTCTACAATATTGAAATCTAAAAAAAAAAAAAAAAAAAAAAAAAAATTGAAATCTAAATGGAATACATATCGTTAAATATATTCGCATGCACGTTGTTTAATAATTATAATATCGAAAACTTTGAAAGTCGTAATATTATTAATATACAGTTATACATGCACCACAACATATGTGATAGGCTGGCTTATTTTAATAAAAAATATACTTATATATCTTATAAATTTATGTGGTCATGATGCGGTCCCAAATGATGAAACTCAAATAAGGATGAGGATCAAAGAATGCTGCGAATGAAGCCATGACTACAAGTCGAGAGAAAAGCTTATGAAATTTCAAATATTTATATCTATTGCGGTTTTTATGTGATGGCTATGCTATGCATGTGCCTCATGAGCTAAACAGTTAAAACACAGCTCAAAACAGTATAAAACTCTTTCAACTCTATCATCAACAGTTTACATACAAAGCAGACACATTTATTTGTGCAGTCAAAAGAGATGATGGATATGAGATTACAAGAAGAAGGAAAAAACAAAAAAGAGAGAGCATTAGGAAAAAATGACTCTATGATGTTACACAACAACCTTTTCCTTTAGTTTCAGTCTCTTCTCCAGGAACAACAATCTTAGTTCCTTGCAGGAGTGAAGAGTCACCTCCAGACTCACCTTCCTCATTGGCAACGAGATTCTTTTTGCTCACTATCCGGTAGATTTCAGTAAGAACAGTGAGAAAAGATGGCTCGACGTTGATCGAATCCAGTGCTGATGTCTCCATGAAGAAGAGGTTTTCTCTTTGAGCAAACTCTTTGGCATCCTCGGTTGGCACAGCTCGAAGCGTGCCGAGATCAGTCTTGTTACCTATGAGCATAATCACAATGTTTTTGTCCGCGTGTCCTCTCAATTCTTCTAACCACCTCGCGACATGATCAAACGACTGTCGTTTTGTTATGTCGTAAACAAGCATTGCCCCTAGTGCTCCTCTGTAATATGCACTCGTCACAGCTCGATACCTACAAAAATATATCAGACTTGGTGGAAAATATTGATCTCATTTATCTGATATACCACTCGATGACTATATAAATTCAAAATATGCAGAGCATATATAGGACAGATCATACACATTTAAGCAAAGCAAACGATATACAATAAAAGGTTTTTTTGGTTTTTGTTTTTCAAGAACTCGCTAAATCACGCTAAATCACCCAATCAAGATTTCAGAAATGTTAAAATCCAAAGACTCTGCAAAAATTTCCAACAAGGATCTACGATTCTTTTCAGATTTCAGTTAGGACGCATATATTGAATATCATATTTGTTTAGTAACAAAAAAGGAAATAATAATATACCGTTCTTGACCAGCGGTGTCCCATATCTGAGCTTTGACAGTTTTTCTATCGATGGTAAGTGTTCTCGTCTGAAACTCGACACCGATCGTAGCTTTCGATTCGATGCTGAACTCGTTTCTGGAGAACCTAGCGAGAAGCTGAGATTTGCCAACGGCAGAGTCGCCGATCAAGACTACCTTGAAAACATAATCGATCTTCTGATTGAAATTGTTCTGAAGGTTTGACATCCTTCAAAGAGCTTAGAGAGCTCGAGGAAGAGGCAGACGAAGAAAAGATTAGCGCGAGATCTGGAGAAGCAGTTGGGTCAAAGCACGTAGAGAGAATGACCGAGAAAGGAATTGACCGATTATAAGGAGGAAGAAGAAGAAGAAGAAAGTGGGTTGCGAGCATTGGTAGACGTGAAGGGAAGAAACGAGGAGGGAAAGAAATCAAAGTGGGTCCCGCCTTGTTGCTTTTTTCTTTATTTTAAATTACTTTATATGTTTATCACGGAGTTTAACCGGCTAATAACTCCTACAAAAATTCATTTTGATTTGGGTTATTAATTTAGATGCCTACAAATATGCCTACCGATATGATTATTCATTTATAAATCACACTGTAGCATCACTTATATAGTTATATATAGACTTTGTAATTTACAGTTGAAAAATTTGGGATTATCCTTGACTTTTACGTAATACGTTTGTGCAAACATAATATTCAACCAAAGTTCAAATTATGCTACTAAAAATGCACCTAATATATCTTCGTAATTAGTTTATTACATAGTTAATCATAGCATTACCGAATTCTTCTCACATAAGTGGAAAATCCATAAACAAACTCATCTAAATTCACGATAAAATAAAGAGATCTAACGGTGAAATTGTTCCAACTCTTAGCCAATTTTCTCCGACTTCTCGCTTCCTATGTTGTCACTGCTTCCTTGGGCTGATTGTTGCTGAACTCTTCAGGCAGGAGCTTTTTGCAAGTTGCAGACCCAAGAGAGCGATCGGAGGAGAAACTGGAAGATATGCAATTCCCAAGATCCCGTAAAGATGTATAAGAGTGAGAATCAGTGATAAGAAACCACAAACCATGGGCAACTCTTCGTAGATCCGATCCGCGGTACCAACGCCGTTGTGATAGGCACGGACGAGGAGGGAGAAGAAATAAGCAGATGCCATCTGGCAAGCCAATAGCCCCATCACCCAGTGGAAACTTACCTCCGACATCTTCTAGGTATTCAAATCGGCCACCGAGAAAGTACTCCGACTTGGCGCGACAAACATCAGGAGAGAATACAGACTCGCAGCCATGAGAACATGATATTTCGGCGCAAGTTTCCTGAATACAGCTTCCTCCCTTTCGTAACTGAATCCCATCATCGTCTTAGCGGAGAAAGGGGGGAAAAGGAGAATTTGTGAGAATAGGGAAGAAGAAGATCTGTAGAGACGGAAAAACTAATCGGGTGCTTTCTATTATATCAAAAGGAGAGAGATCGTAGCCGTCAATTATCGATAAAGACATTGCAGCCGTTGATGACTTCTTTTCTTTTCGGCCATCTAGGTCTGGGCCGGATCCGTGAATTTGCTATTAAACCGAATTTGAACCAATTACAGTAAAAAAACCCATAACCAAACGAAATTTCCCAATTCGATTATTGTTCACCTCAACGTGTTTTAATGAGCTTACAAAAATGGATTCAACCAATCAAAACAATTATTAAAAAATCAATAGTTAATCAAAAAAATTGAAGTTATTGATCCCTGCACATTCTTTTTTGGTCCGTCTCCCCATCCGGTTTAACAAAATTGATTACAACAGACCTAAAGAACCGGGATAGAACCATCGCGACGACGACGACCGCTTAAAAATTCAATTACCCTCTGTCGTGTGCTCTTTACCTCCGCTCGTCTTGCTGTTCCCATCCACGGTCGCCGTATCCGTCGTCTCTACCACCGTGAGTCCTCTTTCGATGCTTAGAAGCTAGTCCTATTCTCCTCTGTTTCTCTTCTTTAGATACTCCTCGACTCCATCACTCGACCCAGCCGACACCAAAGACAATCCGGTTAGAGATACCTCTATATCTGTGCTTGATTCATGGTGGATTCTCCACAATTCGATATTCTTGTGTGCTCAGTGTTGTGCTTGGCGTTTCGTGTTACTAATAGAATTCGAAAACTTAGATTCAGAATCTGCTTTATTTAGGTCTGAAATTGATATTTTCTATTTTACTATATGCTTGTTTGACCAGTGTTTGCTATGGTGAAATATATTTTGACATCTTGGAGATAAGATTAGGTAGCTTATTAAAGGTCATATATGAGTGAGAGATTAAAGGAAACTTGTTGTTTCAGAATATTGGTCTTCTACTGCTAACGTTTACATTCTTTGTGTAAATATTAGGTGGTACGAAGCCATGACAGTTTCAGACGTTTATCGTCCTCCTCTATTCAGTATTGCGCCGATGATGGGATGGACAGACAATCACTACAGAACACTAGCACGTCTTATATCAAAACACGCGTGGCTATACACGGAAATGTTAGCAGCTGAAACCATTGTGTATCAAGAAGAAAACCTGGTAATGACTGGCTAAGGGTTTCTTTTGCTTAACCTCTAGAGATGGAGATACTTGTTGACGTTAGCAAAAATTAATCTATATGTTTATTCTTGTACTGCTCAGGATAACTTTTTGGCATTCTCTCCTGACCAGCATCCGATCGTTCTTCAAATTGGTGGAAGAAACCTGGAAAATTTGGCGAAAGCAACCAGGCTTGCTAATGCTTACAGCTATGATGAAATTAATTTCAAGTATGAGCTTCTGTTTCTAAGTTTCCTTTCTATAGATTAATTTGGTGCCATTTCCATCCAACTACTCTTATGTATATGCTGGTTTATTCTGTAGCTGTGGATGTCCAAGCCCAAAAGTAAGTGGACGAGGTTGTTTTGGTGCTGTACATATGCTGAACCCAAAGTTTGTTGGTGAGGCTATGTCTGTCATTGCTGCCAATACCAATGCAGCCGTCACTGTCAAATGTCGAATAGGTGTTGATGATCACGATTCATATAATGAGCTTTGTAAGTTTTTCCTTACATTTCTTGTGTTCATTTTCAAACAATGGCAAATAACAAGTTTTGGAAGAGTTCATTTATGGCATATCTGATTAGACTTCCTTTGCCATTTCAATTCTTTATATGTATTCAGGTGATTTCATTCATATCGTTTCTTCATCATCTCCTACTAAGCATTTCATCATACATTCACGAAAGGCGCTATTGAATGGACTTAGCCCGGCAGATAACCGTCGAATTCCTCCCTTAAAGTGCGTGCTGACTTATGTTTCTTTAATGGTCGTCTGTTTGAAAGATAAATTGCTCTTAACACTGTTTCTGCTTCTCAAATGTAGATACGAGTATTTCTTTGCCCTTTTGCGTGATTTCCCGGACTTGAAGTTCACAATAAATGGAGGCATAAACTCTGTGGTTGAGGTGAGCTTTCTAAAAAACGGATCTCTAGTTTGACTCCAAAGTGGAAACTTGTGTGTATAAAGCCAAATTCATACTTCTTCCATTGACCTGTAGGCAGAGGCGGCAATAAGGTCTGGAGCTCATGGCGTTATGATTGGACGTGCTGCATATTACAAGTATGTGAAAGCCTTTTCCTGTATATTTTCTTACATTCCTGTAAAACATCATATGAGGATTTGGTTCTGCTTTTCTCCTTTTGACTGTTTTATGGAATTCTATGCTGATGTAATAGTCCCTGGCACATTTTGGGACACGTAGATACTTTAATATATGGATCTCCAAGCAGTGGGATTACAAGGCGACAGGTAGATTTACGTTCTGAAATAGATTCTTCCACGATTTTGGTTGATATCTGATTTAAAATGTGTTTTGTTGTCCCGAAATGATCTTTAGGTTCTTGAAAAATATCAAGTCTATGGGGAATCGGTTCTCGAGAAATATTGTAAAGGCCGACCAAATCTTCGTGATATAGTGAGGGTAATGGTATTTCCAAGGCTCTATTTTATCAAGTTTATTATCTGGTGACACAAGCCTAAACAGAAGCAAAAAATATTTTTTTGTAGCCATTGATCAATCTGTTCCACTCGGAGCTTGGAAATGGCCAGTGGAAACGTAGAACCGATGCTGCTCTCTTGCATTGCACCGTTAGTCAATTCTTTGACACTCTTCTTTGTTACTTGCTACCAAAAACTTGTCACCTTGTTAACTCACCTCTTCTCTTATGTTGCAGACAATGAAATCGTTCTTGGACGAAGTGTTACCGGCAATACCAGACTTTGTCCTCGATTCATCTGTTGTGAAAGAAGCGACTGGGCGTGAAGATCTCTTTGCAGATGTACGACGTTTGTTGCCACCTCCTTACGAAAAAGAATCACAGAAGCTTGAAAAGTCTGACAAAGAGACATGTAATTCTTGATGAGGAATGACAAATCTCTCTATTTTTTTACCTCAAAATGAACCTTTTATTTGATTACATCGTCATATACAGCTGCTTAGTGTATCGGCCACATTCTAGGAAAAATGTACTAATGGAAACATCAAAGTTGCGAGTATAAAGATTTGACTTTGTCCAGCTTTAAGTATGTCATGCCATATATTTGCATTTTCAACTAAAGTCTTCTATTTTCAACCAAACTATGGCTGTGAGACGCAATGTTCTGAGATGATTACATAAACAAGATTTGAGTTTTGTGTATGATGATAAGCTCATTAGACAACATAGCATTGGGTTATAGCTTGTGCAGGATAAGATGAGCACCGAACTGTGGGTGAAGGGTGATGACTGTATAAGGCGCATGAACATAAGAAGGAGAGAGCTCAAAGGAGAACCTCTGTAGAATCAAAGCCATTGCCATCTTAGCCTCCAACATAGCAAAGTTCTGGCCAATGCAGATCCTTGGTCCCCACGCAAAGGGAAAGAAGGAGACTTGGCTCTTTGTTGCCTTTGAGAGACCGTCTTTGAACCTCTCCGGCTTGAACTCTGCTGCATCGTCGCCCCATAGCTCCGTGTCGCGTTGGACTAACATAATAGGTAGATTGACATGAACGCCAGCTGGTAGCGTCAGGTCGCCAAGCTTCATCTCTTTGTTAATGGCTCGACTCAGCTGCGTTACTGGAGGATATAGCCTGAGGACCTCATACAATATCATCGTCATCTGCGAGGGATCCAAATCTTTCAGCAAAAGATCAACACAACACAAAGTGAGGACTCAAGTCAAGCCACCTCAAGGTCGTTGTACTTACAACTTTGAGCTGGTTTAGACCGGCTTCTGTATCAGGTTCTCTGTCGCCAAAAACATGCTTCACTTCTTCTCGTGCCCGAGCTTGCCAGTCTTGGTGTTGGCTTAACAGAACCATTGTCCAGACCAGAAGTACTGAAGTTGTCTCTTGCCCTGCGAAATAGAACAACTTGCACTCTTCCATCACATCCTTAATGCTCATTCCATTCCCTTTAGCTTGCACCATATTCGATTCAAGAAGTATACCAAGCAAATCATCGCTCGGTGCTTCCCCAGCTTCTCTCGCCCTTAACCTTTTGTTAATGATCCCTCGCAGGATAACTTGGACTTCGCTGGCTGCTGCTTTCATCCTTCTATTATCCTTCGTCGGGAGATAACTATCCGGAAACAAAGATCAAGAGTCAGTCTCTGAACGTCTTGTATATTAAACAAGACAAGCTGAGGTTTATTATCATTACCGATATCCAGGGATGAAAGATTTCCGAAACGATTGAGTGATGAGCTCTGTTAGCTCTGTTTGGAGCTCAAATATCTTTTGCCCTTCTTTGTAACTGCTTCCAAAGGCAGTACGAGAGATCACATCTGCCGTCATACTCATCAGCCAAGGCCAAACGTCCACCTCACAAGACGACCCTTTAGCCGAGACTAACTTGTCCCACTCGCCAACAACCTCGCTGCAGCTTTGGTGGAAAGCAGGTACCATAATCTATACACAGAAGCACAAGTTGGGACGATAGTACATACTAATCTTAACCATGGTTCAGAGATATGGAAAAAGAAGTCAGAACCTTGATCTTCTCTAAATGGAAAGCAGGGTTTATGATTCTTCGGTGTTTCGCCCATTTGTCTCCATCATAACTAACGAGTCCAGTGGCTATGTATCTGATCAGAGGGAATGTATGTGTCTTTGGGAAATCAGAAATTTTGTTGAACACTTCCTTGATTTGCTCAGGATCCATTATAGTGATGGCTGGTATAGGTCCTAACCACGTAAAGAAGGTCCTTCCTGTTCCAACCACCAAAGAGATGCAAAATTTGAAACCTTTCGTTATCTGGTCCTCTGCTAACAGTTTTGATGTTCCCTATATCTCTTTAAGTGAACAAAGAGGAATGGAAGAGCTATATAAGCTAAACATGAAACATACCATGAGTCTTGAGCATCTGCAAGGGATAAGGCACGACACGTGGTTGGATATCATCCGTTAGTTTGATGGGTTTGGATCTTGCCTCCGTCAACATGTTGAAAATCTTCTTCAAGTCGCCGACGAGAGGCGTGTAAGGAGGTCCGGCAAGACCTTGTCTTCTCAGGTAACTCTCAAGCATCTTTGGTTTGAACCAAACCCAGTTCAACGTTCTCCATACCCACCACGACACCGCAGCTATAGCTATTGAAACTGTCAACGATGCAACTGATATCTCCATTTTGCCTCCAAGAGAGAGAGAGAGAGAGAGAGAGAGAGAGAGTTGGATAATCTTAACTTCTGCGAATGTCGAAGAAGATATTGGTGTGTTGATGACATCACCCGGATGTCTTAAATAACCCCCTTTGTATTTTGTGTGCGGCCTTGTTTGACCATTGAATTGATCTTGTTCTTTGATTGGAGCCGCACAACATATGCCACGAAGGCAATTTGGGTTTGGTTGTGTGAACTGAAATGCGACAAAGAGAAGAGGAAACATATTAGTCACGAATAGAAAAAACAGAGTCGTTATTATTTTGAACTTTTACCATAATAACATTGAAACATTTTGTTTTGTCAAGACATGTAATAAAAATGATGGGGCATTGACGGGAACAACCTTTTATTTAGCCTTATTGACTAGAACAACCTCCTCCCATTTTATCAAAGTGAAAATAGTTTTGTACCTATTTTACCCTCTTTTCTTTGTATCCGAAAAACGATATTTACGAGACTGCCATTAATGAAAGTTTGCCACGTCAGCATTCGCGAAATAAAAACTCTACCAAATGAGTGATGATAGATTTATTAGCCAGCGGTAGATATATTAGTCGAAACGGTAGATTTAGTATCCATTGGTAGAGTTATTGTTCGGGCGGTAGAGTTTTTAGCGGATCGGTAGAGTTATGTTGCGTCAACTGCTGGTAGAGTTATTTATCGACGATAGAGTTATTTTCATGTTGCGGTAGAGATACGTATTTTTGGTAGAGTTACGTATCGCGTGATAGAGTTATCTTTGGGAGTTGGTAGATTTATTAAACTTGATGGTAGATTTAGTTTACAGTGGTAGAGTTATTTTTATTGATGATAGACATTTAGTCATGGTAGATATTCCGGCAATGACGGTAGATAAATGTTGGTTCAATAGAGTTATTCATTTTGACGGTAGATTATCGATTTATCTGGTAGAGTTATTGATAATGCCGGTAGATTTGGCACTTAGTGAACATAATTTCATAGAGTTTTTCTATGACTAATGATGGTAGAGTAATGCTCAATTTGGTAGACTTGTTATAAGCGGTAGATTCTTGTCAATCTCATTTTCAAATGTATTAAACCGGTTTAGGAATTACATGTTATTTGCAAATCAATTTCGTATACTTTGATATTTACGGTTTAGGAATCTTTGTAAATCATATTCGTGTAATCAAATTTGATTAGGGTATTTATGGTTTAGGGTTTCAATACTCTGTGAGTACTAGTAAAAGGCATATTTTGGGCATCAAAGCAATATGTTCTTTAGGGTTGAGGGTTTGAATACTATTAGGGACTTGAATGCTATTATGAGGCAAAATCGAAATAACAATTAAACAAGATTAACTATCTAGGGTTCTCCAACTATTTTTGTAGTTTAGGGTATACGATTTAGGGTTTAGGTTTTTTTTTTGCATCAAAGCATTATGTTCGTTAGGGTTTAGTGTTTGAATACTATTATGAGGCAATGCCCAAATAACAATTAAACTTAACTATATGGGGTTTAGGTTTTTTTTTTGGCATCAAAGCATTATGTTCTTTAGGGTTTAGTGTTTGAATACTATTATGAGGCAATGCCCAAATAACAATTAAACAAGATTAACTATATGGGGTTTAGGTTTTTTTTTTGCATCAAAGCATTAGGTTTAGTGTTTGAATACTATTATGAGGCAATGTCCAAATAACAATTAAACAAGATTAACTATATGGGGTTCTCTAACTATTTTCAGTTTAGGGTATATACGGTTTAGGGTTTAGATGAAGCAAAATCCATATTTTTGGAAACGATGGAGTTACATTTCTACCATGAAGACATAAAGTGAGATGAATTCAGAAGGGTTTTATCACATAGAGTTGCAAACATAACATAACACACACATATTTGTCCACATAAAGCAAAATAGTTTTCTGCGACACAAGGAACAAACACTTCAAAGAACCTAATTAGTTGTCTACTTAGAGACCAAACACACCCACCGTCTTCTTGACTTCGTCCTTGCAGTTTGAACACCCGCAACTGAGATTGAGAATCGAGTCCCACAGCTCTCTTACCTCGTTGATTGTTTTTTCATGTTGAACACCGAGCTCATGAAGCTTCTTGGCCTGCTCCGCATTCTCCTCCTTCAGCTTCTCAACCTCCTCTCCAATAGCCTCCCTTTCAGCCTTCCTTTTAGCGAGGTGAAGCTCAGCACCAAGTTCACGAATCTTCTTGGTCTGCGCTCCGGATCTGGGCTCCGGTCTTCTGCGGCGCTCGGCTGACCACCGCTCTCGACATTGGAGTTCACATCTGGCCTCGGGTCTTTCTGACGACGTTGTCTTGACCCCTCCATTGTAGACACCCTCTGATCTATCTCATTAACCTTCTCCAACACCATTTGTAGCATTGCGGTAAGCTCAGAGTGCCTATTTTCTTCTTCCTTCTCGATATTCTTCTCTTTTCTCGGTGGTAGTTTCATTTTTCTAGCTGCATCATCCATTGTTGTGTCATCATCCAAAGACATTGAAGTTTCGGTTGAGTCATCGCTTCTCGCCACATTAGATGCCTTCTTTCGCCTTTGGTCCCAAGCCTTCTTTCGTCTATGCTCCTCTTCAGCTTGTGCTCTTGGTTTTTTCTTGGAAGACTTTGATGGAGGCTTTTCAATAAAGTCATCGTCCTCTTCTTCCACCGCCTTAGTCTTCATCTTTTTCTTCATCTTATTCTTTGCACCCTCGTCGGATTCCCCAAAAGATTCATCCAAGCAGCCATCAAGAATATCGCGAATCATATTGTCAACCTTCTTGTCACAGTCTGGTTTTTCATCCGGCCATTTCGGATATATCTCAGCAAGAGGCTTCTCCACGAAGTGCCTAACACGAGCCTGCATCCACCAATTAAAATTTCACACAGCAGTCAAAACCAGTGAAACAGAGTCTCTTTTAAGTCTATCAACACATCAATAAAATACTCTAAAAATTCTACTGCTGCGTATATTGTGAACATTGCATACCTTGTTATCGACGCTCATCTTCTTATCCTCCTCCATCAGGGCCTCCAGATTGTATCGCTTACGTGATGATTGCCATTGTAGAAGAGGGATTGGAGCATCACGTCTCCTCCCAAATCTTTCTCCGATAATCTCGACAGCCTCGTATGCCCATATAAGCAGCGGATGCACAAAACCAGGAATGGTGTAGGAAGGGCCGTCAAATTTCGCTATTTTAATCGCCTGCACTAACTGCTGAAATGCAACTCTACCCCAAGGATAGCTCTCAAACTTTTCAGGAACCAACACTCTTCTGGCAGCCTTGAAAGGGATTCTAGAATTTCGAGCAAGACCAAATATTCCCACATGCAGCACAAACAACAATGCAAACTTCCTCTTCTCCTCATAATCCCAACTACCGCATACTGCAAACGCAGTGTCCAACTCTTCCCAGCTAGGTCCTTCACCTGATTTAATGCCGACCAAATCCCAAAACTCCTTGTGGTCAACATTCAAGTCTTCATCATCTTCAAACGGCTCACAGTTTAGCCGTGTAATATCATGAAACTCATGGAGGCTAAACCGGATAGGACGACCCCCAATCAAGGACCATATCTCATAGTTCCGCTGGACTGCCAACTGATTGGTTAGAAGATTGTGGCATGTCTTCGCAGACCAGACGTAGCCCCTTGAAGCAAGCTTAAGAATCACTCCCACTTGTGAATTATTCATGACGTCATTGTAAACTGTCTCCCCAACAACCGATTCAAGCTCTCCAAAACCAGAGAAGGAGCAATTGTGATGCATACTTCGGTTTTGCAAAGGAGATTTTCCGGGTGGATACAATCTCTGTGGATAGTCCCTCCTCGGCTTTCTAGATGCCATCCCTGCACATATTTCAAAACTAATATAAGTCTACCATAACATTACGTAAACCAATTTTAAAATAAGTCTACCGTAAATAAGTCTACCATGAGCTACGAGAAAATGAATCACAAATAAGTCTATCGTAAATAAGTCTTCCATCAACACATTTAACATTAAAACAATGAGAAGACAAACAAATAAATCAACCATCAAACGATAACAAGTGTTCCATCACCAAATCGATATAAACCCTAAACCTCCTACCATCAAAAAACGAAACTCCTATTTTATTTCATCACAAAGCAATATCTATAGCTTTCTTACCGTCAAAAATCGCCGCCGCTTCGCCGGGATTTAACCAGAAGGTGATGGAGACGCCGTACAAGAAGCAACGACGGACTGGATCGGAAAATTTTATCCTCGGCGAGATGTGAAGACCAAGAGGATGCGTCGGTGCGATTTTAGGGTTTCAGAGTCGGCCAAGAAAAGAAAGTTGGGTTTCGGAAGAGGAAGAGGAAGGTAAACGAAGAGGAAGGTCGGCGAGATCTGGGTTTCGGAGTCGGGAAAAGGAAAGGGACGTCGTCGCCGAGAAAGGAAGATCTCCGACGAAGATACGTCGACGATTCCGACGAAGAGAGGTCGCCGATTCAAGTTCCGTTTCGGATTCGACGAAGAGAGAACGCCGCCGGGGATTTTAGGGTTTCAGATCGAAGAGAATGAATTCGATATTCTGTTTTCGAAAAGTAAATGAAACCGTAATGGCAGTGTCGTAATTAAAGTGAATAATTGATATTTGTTATTTTCTTTTTTTAACTGACGAAAATGGCACATCTGTAAATAAAAGAACCCTTAAGAATTAAAGGACTTTTCACTACTTTTTCAGGCTTGCAAAATGAGAGAGTTATTCTAGTCATTACAGCTAAATAAAAGGTTGTTTGCGTCATTATCTCTAAAAATGATATGTTGCTTTTTATATAATCAAGCTCTTAAATCTTTTGTAAGTTTATTATCATAAAACTGCTAAATCTTTCGCCATTTAGTAGCTTTGAGTTTGAGTTCTGTGATTCTGTTATAGCGATGTTCGCCCAACAAATGAAAAAAGCACACAACAGAATAAAACTCGATACGAAAACCATCATCAGCATAATATGTTAAAAGGATTGAACAAAACTAACAAAACTTATGATATCAATCCACCCAAAAATATGATTCCTGCATTTAAATCGAATTTCTAATGATACAATGCATAATCTGTAGAAATGGATGAAGATTGATGATCTGAAATGACTAACACTTGATATAACTTGAACATTCTCTCTTTTATGCTCAATATACTCAAACTCAAAAATGTAAAGTTCACTTTCAGGGGACTCTGTAGCAGCTGGAAATCCCAAAATCCACCATCAATTTCCATGCAATACAATTTCAACAACCTAAAATCGACCACAAGAAAGAGATAAAGCATATGAATCGTACAGATAAGGGAGGATAGCGAAAGCGGTTTGGGGATATGCTTGTGGAGAAGGCGAACGGAACGACGTCATCCGCCATTAGGCTACATAGACGACTACATTGTATTTACGTTGCCACCATGAGCCGCCTCAACCCAAATAAAAGAAAACTCTTTTAAGAGCATTTGTGATTTCTGACAAACGATAAGTTTCCGACAGTGCCGGTCCAACGAATTTAAACGCCCTATTCGAATCTAAAAAGTATGCCTTTCAATTTTTTTTTCAAAATCACAAAAAAGTAAAAATATAAAAAAAAAACCCTTAAAACTTAATAAAATAAACAAGTTCTAAATAAAAAATTCCCAGTTTGTAAATAGTTTGCTGAAAACAAAAAAAAGAAAACTGATTTTTTATGGCTTAAATATAGCTCTCCTTGGATTTTGAGCTGCAAAATCATTCATTAAACTCACATAATGATACACATACAAAAGGTATTTGTTAACAAATATCCTATAAATATTAATATCACTAAAAAGGTTTTAAGACTTTGTACATGATATATAAACCCATTAAAAAAATTAACAAAAATATGTTCTTGTTAAAGCTTTGTATATAATACTTTTAAGAAAAATTTAAGTAACTAATATATGCCTTTGTTAAAACTTTGTAAATGATAGTTATACACCCATTTAGAAATTTTATAACAAAAATATATTTCTAATAATTGGATGCCCTATTCAGCCGCTTACCCTGCATGTGCTCAGGGCAGGCCCTGGTTTCCGAAGATCCATGAGAGTAATCGACGATAGCTTTTTTTTCAACTTTTTTGTATCGAGAAGCAGAGGAAGATAGTATATTAAAATATTTAAGCTGACATGTGCATTTAAAATATTTTGATTGGCTTTCCAGTTGACGTGTCATGGGAAGGAGAGCTGACATCTTAACATTTGCTCTTTGCATTTGTATATCAGATTTGGATCCAAATTCTGTTCTCAATATAAACCCAAAATCTTCCCGAATCAGAGCAAGAAGAAAGTGATGGATATGACCAACGACGACGACGTTATCAATTCTACTACGAACTGGAGACTCGCCGGCGGTACCCTCAGAGATTCCATCTCCTTTGAGTCGTCCTTCTTGACTTTCACCGCTAGCCACGAATCTGACGACGGAACCATCACCACCGCCGTCGATCATGTGGCCAAGTCCCCGCTGCTTCTGATCGCTCCGATTCCCAACGGCGAGCCTTGTGAAATTACCAGTACGGTGCTTGAATCTTCCCTGATTCCTAATTTATACTTCTATTCCTCTTTCCCTTCGTTAGTTCTCCATGATTCTGAAAAACACTCCGATTCCGGTCATAAACCCCTCTAATTATTAGTTTAAAGTAGATCGATTGTGCCATACGATGATATTGGTGGGAGTTCTATATTCGTGTGGATGTCTAGAGTCGGTGATCTGGGTTGTGATTTTGTTTGCAGTTACATTTGCGCAAGAGCATGAATTGAGGCAAGTCTATATCCGAAGTAGTGCACGGGTATACGAAGTTTACTACACCAAAAATCGGGGACGTGACAAAGAATACCTGTGTACAGTTCGATGCGGCATTGCAATGAGAGGAGAGGAAGTGCTTGAGATCCCTCTCACTGAGTCAGCTAGTGAAGTGGAACAGATGAAGGATCCGACGGAGAAGAGTGTAAAAGATAATGGCAATGGACGCACCAACGAAGATGATTGGGTTGAAGTGAAAGCTGGCGATGCTTCTTCGGAAAAAAAATTGCTTCCACTGCCACAATTAGGAAAACAGGTAACGAGTTTTTGAGGAAGTCGACTTTAGGATCTCTTTACCTTTTTTGTTTTGGAGTAACATCACATGGAAGCAAAACCCTTCAGAATCCTGAGAAATGAAATCCTTGTGAATCTCAGGGACATCTCTGTTTGTGCTGCTTATCATTTTCTTGTTTCTTTTCCCTTAGTGATGGTTGCTGTTGCCTGGGAAATGCTTTTCAGGATTTCTTTGAAGCTACTGCAGAGATGGAAGATGCAGATCCTTGCATTTCCATTACGCTCCGTCTTCTCTCCCTTCAGGACAAACGATGTGCAGTTGTTGATGAAGTTTATGTGTTTGCTGATCCTGTTGATGAATGTGAGTCAGAGAAGGAAGAAGCAAGTGGGAAAGGAAATTCATCCAGTAGTGCGCTGATGGCTATGTTTATGCCCACTCTTTTGCAGCTATCTCGAGGAAAAGATGTCAGAAAACAACTAGATAGTCAAGTTTCGGGAACTTTGGGACTGTCGAATGATTCAGGTAAGATCATGAATGAAATTCAGCAGGAGAGAAATTTCAGTAAATCTGATCTCAAAGGAGTGAGCTCACCAGTTTTAGTCGATACTCCTGCAAAACATGTTGATGCAACACGAGTATCTGAAGCACAAATCAAACCTGAGTTGTCTTGCAACAATGTGGAGACTATCCTGCATCAGCTTGTTAACAGGGTAAGCAGGATTGAAACTATCTTGACAAGATTTGAAGATCAGATGTTGAAACCTATCAATAGCATTGACGCAAGGCTCCAGATAGTAGAGAAGAAACTGGAACAGCTAGGCAAGAAATCGTTTGAGTCTGAGTTGCTTGTTGAAACAGAAACACCCAATACAGATTCTCTGGGCAGTGATACAGATAAATCTCCTGAAACCGATGAGTTGGGTGGATTGGCCAAAAACACAGATAATCCAGAATTGGCCTCTTGTTCTGAAACAGTTGTCCCTGACTCCTCTAGTATAGACAACAGTAAAGACTATGCAGTTGTACTACCGAAGAACAGGCTGGATAGTAAGTTCGTAGAATCAGGAGATGAGATGATTTCTGTTGAATCTCAGATCAGTGATAAGGAGGATGGTCATTCTCCTGGGAGAGTATCTGTTGAAGAGAAACCAAAACGTTCGGTGTCTATAAATGATGCTTTAGCATCCGCACTTGCTGGATTATTGTCTTCAACTTCAATCACGGACGGAAAATACAGCCAAGCCCTGGTAGTTACAGCCCCTGAGTTTTCAAACGAAGATGACTCGGAGATGGAAGAGACACCTCCGACTGGTACCCGTCCAGACAAAAGCCAAGTTGCAGAAGAGGAGTTGGGAAACACATACACTGCTTCTTCGGAGAGCGCAACTTCTTCACAGAAAGAGCCTGACATTATTGAAGAGGATTCTGAAGAAATGACTAGTGAGGTTTCTGAAAAATTGGGTGATAGTGTGGGAGCATGTGACGATGCTGAGACAGTGGTTAGCGTCAGGAACGATGATTTTGATGAAGAGATGGTGACATCAAGTAAAAATCCCGATTCCATGGTTCACGAGCTCGAGAATTCAACTGTAACTACTGAGTCCAAAGGAGAGCCTAAAATGGATGATGTCTTGAAGAGTGTTCTCGGTTTTCAACCTAGTACTTCTTCGGTCGATTTCCTAACTCCTGTCCTCGATGTGAAATTTAACTCAGATAAAAAAGTCTCAGAGAACGAGGATTTCTTTGAGGCACTCTTCACAGAGGAATCCAAGACTATAGTAGATTGCTACAACGAAGCTTTTGGTGATGATAACTTGGTCTCGGTTGAAGATGAGGAACTAAAAGGCCCACCAACAGATACCCTTTCGTCTGTGGAGATGGATTACTATGAGACGAACGAGATGCATCTACACGTGGGTGTTGAAATATCAACAGCAAGTCTGATATAAAGGTGCGGCATTAAAGTCGTTTTCTATTTTCGTCGTGTTTTTGCTCGGAAGATGTCTATATCACCCTCGCTCCTTGTAGTAAAGTTTGTGAGTGTTTGAAAGAAGTCCGATAGTCAAGTTAAAGCGGTATGTTTTGTGGTTTGGTTTTCAAGCTTAGCAGATAAGAGAAGCACACAAGATTATCGATTAGACAATAAATTGATGCATTGGACCAAAGGTACACTGGTACCGCTAAGATGAGAACAAAATTTAACAATCTATTGATGGTGCAAATGTCTTAATTAACCATAATACATACTAGGATATGAAACTCATAATCATACAGTCATAAGACCGGCCACGAGTGGACCATCCTTTGAGGAGAGCCTGAAATGGATGATGTCTTGAAGGGCCGGTTTAAACTTAGAGACTCCGTTCTTTGTCATTTTACGCTATGAGCGAGTTTAATTTTGCAATCCAATTTTTTAACGGTTTCGTCACAACATGCTTTTTACCAATACTGGTCGAGTAAATTTACCCGTTTTCTACAATCGATGAAAACCGGGAAAGTCGGAAAGAAGCCAATTCACTACAACCGGAAGATCCACTCCTACCCAGTCAATAGAATGTGTAATGGGCTGGGTCACTTGGGCCCAACTTTTCGTCATACACAGACCTATTTATATACTCCGAGGATTTTTCCCTGCGCAGCCGCTTTGTAGTGTGAATTAAGGTGCTCTAGGGTTTTCTCCACAAACTCGTCTTCGTCGCATTTCCGCAAGCAATCATGGTGAACTTTTCTCGCTTTCTTCTCCTTGTTTGTGATTTTTGTTGTTCCTGTTCAATCTATTTGTTGTTCCTCTTTAATCTTTGACATATGTTTTCATTTTGGATCTGTGGATCAGGTTCTCCAAAACGACATCGATCTCCTCAACCCTCCTGCTGAGCTCGAGAAGACAAAGCACAAGCTCAAGCGTCTCGTGCAATCTCCCAACTCCTTCTTCATGGTATTCTTTTTTTCACCTTTCCCTTTAAATTCAATCAAAACATAATTGGAGTCGATGCAATATTTCTGATTCCGTTGTCTTCTGTTTGTGTTTCAGGACGTCAAGTGCCAGGGATGCTTCAACATGTGAGTCTTCTAATTTTTCTCAGTCACTGTTTCTTTTGTAGAATCGGACATTGTTGCTGGGTATTGATTGGAACTGTAGATTGGTATGATTAGTAAGAAACCGTCCTGATATTAATTCAGTCATGATGTAAATGTCAATTTTGGCTCAGTACTAATTCTTGTACAAAGTCGAATGATGTTTGGGATTAGGAAGAAATTGTGAAGCTTTTAAAATCAGTAGTGATGATGAAGAGATTACACATTTGTAACGCATTGTTTGTGGGTTATTTTATTGCAGAACAACTGTGTTCAGCCATTCGCAAACAGTGGTAGTGTGTGGAAACTGTCAGACTGTTCTCTGCCAGCCCACCGGAGGCAAAGCGAGGCTCACAGAGGGCTGCTCCTTCAGGAAGAAGTGAGACTGAGATCCTTCTCCACGACAAATGTTGCTGTCAGAGAGGAATCACATCTTTTTATTCAGTTTGGTTTTCTTGCTTAGTAGTTTTTATGTCTATGACGTTTTTTGGCTTATGAGAAGTTTTTTGAAGACATAAAAGAGTACTAAAATGCTTTGCAATGTAATCTGCTTTCGTTTAAATTAATCTTTATCAACTTGCATCACTTGTTTCGTTTCTTGTTCGGTTGTTCTCGTTTTGCATGTTGTTTAATGCGATGCGAAGGAACTTTACTACTCTATATACACTTTTAGATCGCACTATCATTACTGCAATGACTTGTATAGGTAACAGCGGACTTAACGAAAGTTAGCTTCAAGATGCAATATATATCCCTGTTGTGAAAAACACAATAAAACCACATTTTTGAAGTTTTTAACTATTTTTAGTAATGAAAATCAGCTGAACAATCGATTTTGTGTATTTCAGTATTTCTTTACCTAAAACAAAACTCAATTGGTTGTGAGCAAATTCTGGATACTTAAAGACGTGAAACTATTCCAAGAATCGTCTAACATCAATGATTCAATATTGAGTGTAAGGTTTGAATTTGGAATCACACTTCAGTTAACGTTGATAAACGACGTGACAAAGTATTAATGTCTAAAATGTGAAATATCTAGAAAACTAGAGTAAGTGATCAAAGTGTGGCTATAAGTAAAAGAGAATCTTATAAAGCTGAAAATATCATCAGCAAGAAATTTCGCAGCGCCTTGGGATGTGAACACTTTCCAATTATACAAAGCCCATCACATGCTTTTTCATCTCTTTCTTTTTCCTGATTTTTAGAAAAGTAACTACGAATTGAATCAAAGTAAATTTAAAAGCTGCAAAAGGGAGAAGTACAATGAATTTACGTCGCCGCTGGATCACTTATGCTGTCTGCAACTTTACCGAAGCATCTTTTTCTGATTCTGATTTTTTTTATATATATATATAACTTACATTTGATGAAACTATTATTTTACGGATAACTAATGACACTTTTGTTTCGATAACTTGGTTGTACAGTTGCTTTCCTAGGTAAAGTTAATCACATTTAATAACAAAAGCCGCTATTCAATCAAATCTTTTAGAAGGAGAATTTGGAAAATTGATTTGGACTCCTTGTGGATATATGTATATATCTTTCATTTGCAAATTATGCAACCCCACTCCCAACTGTACTGATTCTTAGAGAAAAATCATAAACATAGTTCATTTCTACTGTTTATAAAAGTATACTTAATTATACTAATCAAAATCATTGAGTTAAGTTGGTTCTAGATGTTTTTACTTGATTTTTTTAACAATATCACATGTAAGAGTTTCTAAAAATCTTTAGTAAAACTCAAAGACTGTTAATCTTTTTTATTGACGATCAATCGAGACCAAACCTCAACAGTGACGTACCAAACATGAATTCTAATGGAGAAACAATTTAACAATTTCATTTGTTTTAAAATTATTATTAATAGTAGGTAAAATACTTTATAAAGAAGAAAACATACCAGATTCATCGCCAAATTAAGTAACACGTTAGGCAGCATTAGTAAGCGAAATCATACACAAATTTAATACGCTGAGATCCTTTATTAAAAAAAATGATGTATATACGTTCTCGAAATGTAGGCACGATGCAATTTGATGAAAAGGAGAACGTGACATAAAGGTTAAACAGAAGAGAAAAAGCAAGTGATCCACTACATCAAAATGGCTTATGTCCACGTGGTGAATTGTGAGACGATTGCTGCGCCATTAAGTAAACCATCTAGCCGTTAATTAAAACTATACGACAAGACTCATAAAGCCGTGACTCGTGACCGTACCTTTTGAGTACACTCCTCTTATATATAAACCCCTCAAGGCTCTCACCACCAATGTTCCTTTCCATGCTAATTAAGTAACGTCCTCTATATATTAATATTCACCGTAGAAGAAACACCATTAGCTTCATTTTGTTAAGCTCTTACAAAGAGACACATGAAGAAAGCTGCGGCATTGATGAAACAGATCGTTGCGTTGTTGAGCTCTGTGGCAAAGGCTAAATCTATAGCCATAAAGAACAAAACAAACGACTTCAAAACACGACTCCTCATGTTGTCTCTCGTGAAACACAAGAAGCTCGGGTTCCGTTCACTTTCCAACAAGATCCACAACCTGCTCGGCCATGCAGATCAAGACCACGACCCCGACCAGGACCAAGACAAGAGTAAGGCTATAGTTCTCTACAACAGCGCAGCATCCACATCGGCTCATCATGAGAGTTACGACGTGCGCGAGGAGGATAACGAAAAGTATCCCGATCTGAGGCACACGTTGTTCGAAGGAGAGGAAGATTTTGGGGACATGGAGGAATGTCAAGGCAGTTCTGTGATAGATATGGTGAGGAGCTCGAAGGAAGAAGAAGGAGCGAGTTTCAAGCTAGAAGATGAGATCGACCATGTCGCAGATATCTTCATTTCGAGGTTTCATAAGCAGATGAAGCTTCAGAAACTTTTGTCTTTCAAGAGGTATCAAGACATGCTAGCCCGAGGCACCTAATTCCCATTATTCCACATATATTTATATTTTGGCAATATATATGAAGCATAGATTCATGTTATGAATTTTGCTAACGTTCATATTTTATGTTGTCGTTCATTAATCCTTCGAGCCCCTTTCTAGGATCAAAATATAATTATCTGTTGGGCTGAACGAAAGGATCTGTTTTGCAATATGGGTTTTCTTCCTCCTCGAGGTCGTACTATATATGTGTAAGATCTTTGATGTGCTACATTATTGGGCATTCTTCTTTGCCAGCCGGGCTTAATATATGTTACTTATTCAAGTTCTTATTCTTAAGTATTTACGGTCCAAGCAATTGCAATTATATCGGTTCGTTTTTCATACTCTGCCTGCCTTGGTCAATGGTCACTTTGGATGTAGATTCTATGTACTAATTAGGGAAAACGACCTATTTCCCCACGAGAACTATGACATAGCATCAGATCTCCACGGAACTATGACCCCGTTCCAAATCCCCACCAACTGAAAGTTCTCTTTCCGAATCCCCACGAGAAAATAGTTCAAAACCTATGTCTCCATTGGCCTCGGTTCTGATCGGTTCTCTACTTACCAGACATATTAACCAACATAAACACGACACCAAACCATATTATGAACCAATAAAACCCGATTATGACCTGATTATGACCCGCTTACAACTTAACCAGGTTTGCTAAACCGATTAACTCTAGATTCCCCCAACCGTGAACCCTAAGCTAGATATCCCCTAATCAGAAACTTCCATACAGCCTAGAACCCTAAATCACACAATGTCTGTTGTCGTTCCTCATGAGAATCTCGCAGAAGATTTTGATGATGAATTAGAAGACAGAGATCAGTATTTTGTGCAGAAACTTGTTGAGGAGTTCGAAGACGAGCCATCGATTCTTCACAACGAATATCCAGAGACTGAGAGTGATAGTGAAGAAGAAGCAGAGGAAGGCGAACCTCTTGTAGGAAGACAGCGAACCCCTCATATCAGGCGTGGTGATGGACCTGATGGCCATTTGTACAAAGACCAGACCTTCTTCAATGGAGTTGCTTTCAAAGAAGCTGTTCTTGACTATGCACTAAAAAGCAAACGAAATCTGAAGCAATACAGGTATGATAAAGATAAGATAGGGTTTGAATGTGTTGGTGGTGGTAGTAAAGTTAATGGTGAAGACTGTAAGTGGCAAGTATATGCTTCAACACTTCCAAGTGATCCCATGTGGAGAGTTAGGAAGTTCATAGATACACATACATGTGTTCCTAATGGGAAGTGTGAGATGATTAAGGTTCCTGTGATTGCTAGGCTATTTTTAGATAAAATCCGAGAGGAACCAAGTTACTACATGCCAATGAAGATTGAAGAACAGATTCAAAAATGGGGTATAATTGTATCTAGGCCTCAATGTCAAGCAGCTAGGAATAATGCATTGAAGTGGATTGATTGGGAATATGATCAGCAGTTTTCCCGTCTCCGAGATTATGCTGCTGAGTTGCTAGAGTCAAACAAAGATTCGACTGTGGAGGTTGACTGTTTGACAAATGCGGAAGGTCAAGATGTGTTTAATAGGTTTTATGTATGCTTTGATGTCATCAGAAGAACCTGGAAAAATACTTGTAGGCCATTGCTAGGTCTTGATGGCACCTTCTTCTCAGGGAAAATTAAAGGAACTGTATTGGTGGCTATGGGTAGAGATGCAGATAATCGGATATACCCTGTAGCTTGGGGTGTAGTTTCAGTGGAAAATTTTGACAATTGGCAATGGTTTCTGAGGAAGTTGAAGATCGATTTGCAACTTAATGATGGTGATCAATACATCATTGTTTCTGATCGACAAAAGGTAACTATATAGACTTATTTGTTTATCTTTGAATTCCTTATTGTTTGCGTTTTGTTAGTTCATGGCTTGCGAATTTTTTATGTTTGATGGTGTATTTTCTTTGACTAGGGATTGATCAAAGCGGTTCAAGTAGAGTTACCAAAAACTGAGCATAGAATGTGTGTCAGACACATCTATGGGAACTTGAAGAAAAAGCATCCAAGCAAAAAACACATGAAGCCTTACATATGGAATTTGGCATGGAGCTACAATGAACCAGAGTTTCTGGAAAACTTGGACAGGCTATTCAATTACGACAGTGGTGTGTACAATGATGTGATGAAGCAAAATCCCAGGAGTTGGTGCAGAGCTTTCTACAAGAAAGGTAACTATTGTGAAGACGTGGAAAACAACTCAACAGAGTCGTTTAACAAGACAATAAAACAGGCTAGAGGGAAGGCATTTGTTCCAATGCTAGAGACCATAAGAAGATTGGCTATGGCACGTATTGCCAAGAGATCGGCCAAATCTCATGGTCACAATGGTATGTCTTTAATTTTTGGGTTCTACTTTAAGTCTTACAAAGGTTTTCCTTTAAGTTTGCACTTGCTGACTTGACGGTTTCTGGTTATGTTTCAGGGATTTGTACACCATATGTTGCTAAGTTTCTTGAAAAAGAGCACGAAGAAGCTTCTAAATGTATTGTCACTGCAGCCACTAATGGGTACTATGAAGCAAAGCTAGATGGTTGTCCTTACCGTGTAAACTTGGATCGGAGAACTTGCAGCTGCCATAAGTTTGAAATTTGCGGAATTCCTTGCAAGCATGCATATGGAGTGATAATGGTGAAAGTGAAGGTACCTGAGGATTATGTTTGTCACTGGTTCCGCACAGCGACGTGGAAGAGAAACTATGAAGAAGGGCCTATTCCAGTGAGAGGTATAAAGTTTTGGCCAACAACAGGTGCTCCAAAGGTCCATCCTCCTCCTGTACCTGATAAATCGGAGGATAAATCAAAGGATCCATCGGTGGATCAGTTGGTGGATCAATCCAAGAGTAAAAAGACAACCAAAGCCGACCACAAAAGAAAAAGAGGAGTTAATGAGTCTCCAACCAAGAAGGCACCAAAGCTTAAAAAGAGGATAATGCATTGTGGAGTTTGTGGAGATGCAAACCATAACTCAAGGAAACACAAGAATGATTCTAACAAGGTTTGTATATGCGTTAAAACTCTTTCTCCTTTGGTTTGTGGTTTGTAATGTATGTTGCGGTTTCCATTTTTCAGGGTCAAGGAGAAGCCTCTCAAGCGAATCTCACTCAAGCTGAATCCTCTCAAGGGACTCTCACTCAAGCTCCATCTTCTCAAGCAACATAGCAGATGTAGGAAGCAATAGAAGGATCACATGGAGCTCTTTTTATGTTTTTTTTAATGGCTCTCGGCTGTGTATGAACACAAATGTAGGATGCTTTTGGTGTTTGATTTAGGCTACTTTCTACTTATCTTATTGAGATGCTTTTGGTAATGGATTATGAGCTCAATGAAACGGTTTTTAAGCATTTTCTATGTTGTTCATCCTTTTCGATGTAAAAGCATCAAGTAGTTTGTAATAAAAAATGCAAGAAACCCACAAGTATCATTGAAAACCCCAAATCATTGTCATTAAGCTAGCAAACACCATGTCATTACAAACACCATAGACTGATAGGATTTGGATATCAAACCCAGAATTTGCTCACCACACCAACATCTCTTAGGAACACCAACAACTCTTCTTCTTGTTGGCAGTGAAGTTGATGATCCAATCGAACCTCTGATACATTACTTAAGCCTCCATACATCACCAATTTTGTGATTAGAGCAATCAATTTCACGAAATCGATTTTAGGGTTCTTAGGTTTTGAGAAAATCGAATTGGGGGTTTTTGTTTCGTTTTTTGGGTCAACGGGTCACGAGGCGGGTCTTTAATTCGGTTTGGTTTCGGTTATAGATAGTTTGGTTTTAGGTTTAGATCGCAAACCATAGAGAACCGATCAGAACCGAGGCCAATGGAGACATAGGTTTCGAACTATTTTCTCGTGGGGATTCGGAAAGAGAACTTTCAGTTGGTGGGGATCTGGAACGGGGTCATAGTTCCGTGGAGATCTGATGCTATGTCATAGTTCTCGTGGGGAAATAGGTCGTTTTCCCTACTAATTAGTTGTTTTGTTTACAAACATTTTATACAAGTGAAGAGCTGATAATAATTAATAAGTGAACTGATTTGCTGTAGTTTGGTTTAGAACTAATAACTGCTTCTGGACCATCCGCTTTAACTAAACCGAATTAGTTATCTCAAACTAATCAGTGAATCAGGCCTAATCTTGTAAATTATAATTGGATAATGAATAGCAGTGCATATTTATGATTTAACTAAGGAAAGACAAGGAATCTGAGGCATATTGATTTTTATAAAGCATTTGATTAGTGTATTATGGATATGTTGTTGTTGAGTGATTGGCCATAAATCATTCGATTAGTGTGTTATGGATATGTTGTTGTTGTTTGATTGGCCGCAATTTCTAATTGTATGAAAATTGCGACCAAGATATATTAATGTTTTCATAAGTGTACTGTGTACATAAGGTTAATCAATTAAAGAAGACGAAAATGTTGATAATAACGACGCTGTCTTGTTTTATTTTTCCCCAGATTTTCAAGAATATGTATCATTTTAATCTGAGAGTAAGAGGAATAGAATTAAAAACGGGTTCTTAAGTGGATTTAAGAAGAGCATTTTATACAAAGAAAAAGGCAGATTTGTCTACTGTTGTTTACAATTCCGACATGCATGAAAATCGAAAACCGGTTTTGGTGGGTGTGTGGTCCAACGGACGGCGTTAAACAAGAAATGTCTAATTCCGTGGGGCGTGTATAATGCTTGCTGACACGCTGCTAGTAATAAACTACTCATAAATAGTTCAAGTGGCCTCCTCCTTCTAGAACAGCCACCACCACTTTTTTTTGCTTTCTTTTTTCGTATGCCTTATGTCACGCCCTGATTATTCTTTCGAACATTTACATACATGCATTTAAAAACCCAACGCACTGGTCCACGAAAATTCAGTCCATGACACTAACTTCTTCTACTAATTAAGTTATCTTCCAAGTTTTGTTCGATTACATTATCTAGGTGAAAGTATTCAACTATCCTCGACAGTGTAATATTGCATGTTGATGATGATACTAGTGGATTTTTAAGGTAAAATTCCGTGTGCTTCCGTTAAGTATACAATTATATTTGTAAAATAACTTTTTTTTAGTTAATATTTCTGCATATTATAAACAAGAAAACCTAACACATGTATGCATGCATATATAAACAAATTAATGAGCATGTCAAAATAATTAATGAGTATTCAAATTCATCAAAACTATCTTTACTCGTTAAAGATACGATTACAAATACAAAATAATGCTGCAGTAACTCCATAATTTACATGTTTACAAAACCAAAGATGCAGCTATACTCTTCTACTATATTTTGGCATTTAACCAAGTTTCGTAACAGTAAAATACTAGGAAAAGGAAAACAAACGAAAGAATACAACTCATATGGTTTTTTTAAACAAATTATCTATATATCTGCAGTTTCTTGTTTTATTTTTCTACTTAATTAAATAATTGGGATTAGAAGTTCTCTTTGTGGAAGTCAAACTTGGTGGTTGTCTTACGAGAGAAATCCAACGCCAGATTTTTTAGTTCCTTCGTTAGTCCTGGTGCCCCACAATAGAAGACTCCTGCGACCAAATTCATATTAGTATATTTTTTTTTTAAAACCACTGATTAATTATCTTATCACATAACAACGAGATTAAAGCAGTCAAGATTAGTTACCGATTCGTTTGCCTGGATGCTGAACAGCTATCTTCTTGTATACTTGTCTCCAGTTAGGTTTAGCGAAGTGTGACTTAACACGTGTCCCCGAGACAACATCAACACCATTCTTAGCGTGCTGCAACGATTGAAGCATGGCAATAAGAGCCACCCTAGCATCACCTTCCTCGTACACGCTCGTGCAATAGTTATGGAGCTCGATTATTCCTTCCTCGTCCAGCTCAGAAACCTCGTCCATTATCCCTTTGAACCACTCGAACGATCCTTGTTCCCGAGTCACCCAGTAGAAATAAGCTTTCCTCGTCCTAAACCCTTTACTGGTCCCATTATTGTTGTTGTTCTCAATATCGCTGTCGCGGTCATGAACCTTCATGTTGTTAATGATGTCCTTGAGGATACTGATCATAGGCGTGGCTCCAATACCGAGACCTACAAGAAGCACCACGTCGTATTTCTTGTAGTCTTGTGCGGGAGCACCATAAGGACCGTCGATAAGGACCTTTGGAAACGCAATGTTGCCAGAGTCTCCTCCATCCGCTCGAAGCAGACCGCTTTTACCAGCGGTTGGAGGTTTACAAACCTCGGAGAAGACGGTCCTGAGCTTACGTGTCCAGTCACCAAGCGTGCGGATGTGTACGCTCAGATAATCGTCTCCGGGAGCAGATGTGATGGAAAAAGGATGCCATTCGAAGGGTGAGACAGCTCTACAGTTTACGAACATGTACTGTCCACTTTTGTATTTGAATCCTTGCGGCTTCGTCATGTGTAGTGACAAAACGTTCCCCGGATAAACAGCCACCTGTTGTTACGTATTACACACGTCTTTAATATATGTTCAAATGAAAAATTTCTATGTTAAAATGTTTGTTTTTGGTTTTTTTATTAACTGACCTTGAGCATCTTAACCGGTTTGATGCTTGATCTGAAAGCACGGAGCAGCCTCTCAGAAGCATACAGAAGGATTGGTACAGCGAGATACATCCATGTCTGCAAGAATCACATCACACAATCAAGAAGTGTTAACTAACCCTAAAAATGAAAGAAAATTAAAGACGAAAACAGAGGAATTAGGTTTGAAGAGCGTACCGTTTTCTGATACCAAATCTTGGTGAGGTAGAGCTTGATACCATGGACAATGAGAAGAGCATAAACAATGATGAACAAATGGTGGGAGTACCAAAAGGCATTGAAACCGGTAAGCTTCTTGAGGAATGTAGGTAAGTTAAGCTTGTTACGTCGGAACCAAGGCGTTGCGAGTGTAAACGCTATAGCCATTAGCACAACCATCACAATACCGGTCCATCCTTCTACTCCCTTCACAAACCACCAGTAGCTCTCCGGTTGCTCTCCAAAGTACGGTATCATCGGCTCATAGGTATCCTCATCCGCGGCAAGTAAACGCGGGAAATCACACGTTAAATGCGCAACCGCATGGAGCAAAACACCGACCACAATCCCACTTGCAATAACCTTGTGGAAGTTGAGATTGTCGTCGAACGGAACAACAACACCTAGCTTGGTCTTGTTCCTGAGCCAAGTGATAGTGTTGCGACAAACAGGCAGCAAAATGAGAGCCATGTTGAATTTGAGAGTCTCTGCGCCTCCTTTGGCGACACAAACGCAATAACCCATCACGCCATAAGCCGCTTTGTTTCGGTACTGAATGAATTTGTAGGTGAATAGGCCGCCGCAGATGCCAAGCCATAGCAGCATGATCCATAGTCTCTGCCAGTTGTCAAGTACGAAATATTTGATTTTCTCCGACCATCTCACCAGAGGGTTGCTTTCTTTCGCCGGTTTCAGCTTCTGGCTTAGCATTTGGCTTAGTATCCGACTGTCTCCCATCCGCACTGACTGGTTCGGGGCTTGTAGTAAAAGCATCTCCAGGTTTTCGATCTGTTTTTCACCAGTGTCCAATTTCATATCGTTAGCTATAATATTATCATGCAACATTAACATTCCAAAAGGATTCTTTTAACATTTTAGATTTAGGTTTTTTCAACAAAAGCTTGGACTAGTTGTAAGGAGATTATTTTGTTTTTTTATGTTATTTACTATATTACGATTTTAGTGTTTTTATATATAAATAAATATTAGGTAGACGTCGATTTGTTTGTTAATTGATTTGGTAAATAAGATGTCCCGAATTTTGACCACTTTTAGATTTTTATAACCTTGGTTTTTTTTCCAGGTTGTTTCTAGAATTTTAAACGTGGTAAATTATTGATATGTACCATAAGAGATTGAGTGGGAAAGGTGGACCAAACGTACCATGATGTAACCAGCATTGTCTGGGTCCAACTCTTCCATTATCAACGCTGCATATTCTTTGGCTTGCTTTTGAATATTTGAAAGCTTGTTCGCTGAAGCACTAAGACTAATAATCTGCAATTAATCACCAACCCACAAAACGACAAAGTATTTTAATAACATAAACGAAAGTACAGTAATAAATACTACTCTATCTATCTATTAACCATTATTGTCGTGTTCGCATGCAGTTAATGGATTTGTGATGTTAACAGTAAACGTCAGGATTTTATCAACAAAGGAAAAAAAATAGTAAACGTCAGGAGATAAAGTCAGTGGGATTTGCGCGTGGACAAATTTGTCAAGACAACAACTAAAGAATATATTTTTCTTGTCATCACTACTACTATAGGATATATGTAACTATATAATAAAATATGTGAAAAGATAAAAATTGAATGGTGTGTGTGTCTCTCACCTCAGCCACCTCTTCTTCTGTTACCCTTCCATCCTCATCTTTGTCCACCCTGACCCACACAATGACGTCATTTGTTAGTTACAAATCCACGAAAACCTCAAAAAAATGATTAAGTAATTAACTGTTCTTTTATTTCGATCCTAAACCGTCTAATTTTCAACATGTCGATAATTAAACGACCATAATATTGACTAATGACTATTAAGCGTTGATATTGTTAATGGGTTAGGTGAAGATAAGAAAAAGCTTACATGTCAAAGAAGACTTGTAGTTTGGCATCGAAGCTTTCATCAGAAATTTGTTCCCAGAAGATTCTGAGCTGTTCTTTGGTGATTGCATCGCCGGAGATGTTATTCCGGCGAGCCAGTGCTCTAAAGAGCTGGTCCGCAAAGTCTTTTGACTCCTTGTTCATTCCTAAAGAAAGACATAAATATGAAAATTAACATAAATGGAAACATATAATACTAATAATAGAATTGCTTAAGCTATAATAAAATTACGTACCTAAGCATTCCCAAAACTTGGAAGAGAGTAAGAGGCCGTTGGAGTCAGCGGAGAGTTTATCGAAACGTTGGTCTACGGCGGGCCACGCGGCGGTCTTGGTGGCTATGAACTTGAGACCTTTAAGAGCATGGATGGCAGCGGAGCTCGTTCGGTCAAACCGTCGCACGGCGGGAGAAGGGCGTCTAGAGAACACGCGCCGGAGCTCGCGTGATGCGTTCTTGATACGTGAGGAGGTGCTACGGAAGAAGTTAAGGGAGGCGGAGTTGTTGAGGCTGCTTTCAAGCGTCTTCTTGGTGAGAAGTGTCAGCTCTGGATCCTCCAAATGCTGAGCTCCTCCTCCGGCACTAGCTTGCTGGACACTGTGGACGGCCACCGAGTCATCCCTGATGTCTAGCGTAATCTCCACGTACTCATCGTCTTCACCGCCACGTCCACCGCCGTCGCCGCTGACACTATTGCTTCTCCTAGGAAGATCCGCAGCAAATCTTGCGTTTTTCTTGGATGCGCGTTTAGGCCGACCACCCAAGGGACCACTGAAGGCGGTCCGGTCGCTGGCGATGCTTTCGTTGTCGGAGTTGGTATCCGAGTGAGCTCCTCGTAGAATCCCAAGTTCACGGTCGTTACCTGAATTTCCTCGTCTCATTTTGCTTCCAGGCTAGTAAAACGAAAAATATCTCGCTTGATAAGGCCAAGAAAAGCCTCAGAGAAATGAATATATCAGAGAGGTAATTACTATTTTGATCTAGAGAGAAAATCTCCCCAACCAAAAGGTCTTTTGATTTTTTTGACTATGGAAGAAAATGATTTTTGCTTAAAATATATATATAGAGTGAAAGAGGGAGAGATTAATGAAATGGACATGAAAATTCCAATTCATCTGTGCTAAATCCGGGAAGGTAGTGGGAAACTATGGATGGACCGCCCCCCTGTATGGTCAAACCCCTTACTGACCATTTATTTTGACCTTTTTTATTTTTCATTTCAATCGTTTTTTTGTATGTTCACCGAGTCAATTTCTACATTTCAACACCGAGTTCATTTCTACTTTTGTCTCCAAGAAGTTTATTAATGTTTATGTATGTATGTAACAAGTGTGAATTTGCACAGAGAAAAAGAGCCACTATATCTTTTTAATGGGATGCTTTACTTATTCTCCTTATTTGGCACCCATACAAAAAAAAAGTAACGTTTTGCGTTGAAGGGATTTGCATATAGTAACAAACTTTCTCAAAAGTCAGTTATAATTCATTTAGGATTCGTGAACAATAGATGTGATCTGTAACAACTTTGAAACTTTTGTTACTTTTGAAACTTTCTCAAAAGTCATTTTACGTTCGAATATATAACTCTCACCTACTGTTATAGCCGGAGTAGTTTAATTATGGAATCGTGAACAGTTCCATGTGCGATGTATTATTATTTTTTTAAAATTGTTTTTCTAAAAAGAGTCAATTAGTCGTGTACCTACAATTAAAAAAATCTGATTAGCCGTATACCATAGATGTGGAAGTTTATTAATGTAGCCATTAGGTATTCGTCGTAGGAAAAAAACAAAGCCATTAGGTATTTGTCAATTAAAACACGTGGGTTTCAAGTTCGCAACAGATCACGTGAGAAACCATCTCTCGCGTCAGTTATTAAGGTGATGATTGGTTCTCCCGCTACCACCCGCAAACGCAGCGTTTGCGGTTCGTAGCGGTTCTTAGCGTTTTATAACAATCACGACAACCGCTTTCAACCGCTCTATACCACTCTGTACCGCTCTATATCGCTGAAAATCAAAAGCTCCTTTCCGCAAGCGTTTGCGGTTGCGGGCGGTTGCGGTTTGAAAAAAAAAAAAAAAAAACATAATATCTCCAAATTTGGAATAAGGGTATATTTTTTTGAAAAATACCATAATTATGTTTAAAAATTTCGAAAATACCCTAAATTTTTTCTGTTTTGAAAAATACACTTTTAAAATGTAAAAAGTATGTTTTGACGTGATTTAAACAAAAAAATAATAAATAATTACAAATTATAAACGAAAATTTAAAAAAATAATAAACTAATAAGTTTTTTTTCAAATAAATATAGTATATGTTAAACTGAAACAAATTTTAATATTTTGGATCTTTATATAAACAACTTAACCTCATACACATTCAAACCAAATGAAACTTTAAATAAATTAAAACTTTACATATATTTAAAGTTTATAAATTATTAAAAATTTAAAAGTGGAGAAATATATCTTTCATTTTTAATGTTTATCTTTTGAAAAATTTAAATATTTTTGAAACTTTGCATAAACAACTTTAATCTCACCCCATTTAAACTTTATATAAACAATCTTATATTTTTATTAAATTGTTTAAAAAAAACTAAACAGGTAATTAGGATGTTAAAATGATACAAAATTATTATCAAATATTAATATTTTATATTTCTTATTTGAATTTCGTTTTTATTAAATTAGGAATAATCATTTTACATATAAAAAGTGTATTTTTCAAAACCAAAAAAAAGGGTAGTTTTCAAATTAAAAATTCATCAAAAAATATATTTCAAAAAAAAAATTATTAATATGGTTATAAATGTTTTGAATAATTATATATTATTTTTATTTTAGTAACTTTTGGTTAAACCGCTCTTGCACCCGCTGGCTAACCAGTCAAAAATATCCCGCAAACGCAACCGCTATGAATTGCTATACCAGTCGTACAAACAGCTTTTAATCGCAAACTCCCGCTTCCGCAAACTCCCGCAGCCGCAAACTCCCGCAACCGCAACCGCAGTGGAGGACTTCAAAATCTACCAAACGCGAAAAAGAACTAACAAATCACGCGCATATTAGGCTGCAAAAGTGGGAGGCAAATGAGAGGTAATAGAGTTTGTGTATTAGGCTGCATAAACAGATAATGGCTTTGATTGGTAACTATAAATGGAGGTAGTACAACTTGTGTTTGATATGTTACCAATCAAAAGAGTATTACATAAGTGATAGTACAAAAAGCATTTTACAAAAAAAGTAGCATTACAACAAAATAATGATGTTACAAAGAGCAAAACAATGGTACAAATGTAAAGCTACTTTTAAATGGTGTTACAAGAAATAAGGGTGGTACAAAACATTGTTTAATTTATTTATTAAAGTTTGTCATATAACGTGAGATGATTTTTTGTGCATTAATGTGACTTTGTATCTATTATAGCAACTTTTGTGGATTGATGTGATTTTTTGTTGCATTATTGTAAAATTAATGAAATTATCCATATTTTATATAGCAACTTCTATTAATACATGCATGCATTTTTATGATTCATTTTATATTTAACCGTAGCAAATTAATTTCTGTTGCATTTTAATAATGTGTAGATATAGTTTTTGATTTTTGGACATGTGAATGAATTATGAACAGTTGTAATTACAGTGCAAGAAATAAAAAATGTCATAAATATGAAAGTAAATTATTTATTAATCTCTTGATAAGTAAATAAGAAAGTAAAAAATTTTAAACAATACAAATTATCAAACTTTCCTTGAAATATAAAAATTTTATTCTTACAAAAACTTCTAACTAATATATACTACTTTTTACAACGCAAATGTGTTGCTAAACAAAAAAAAATACTTTATCTTATATTTTAGACTATATTTGAATTTCAATATTTAAGTTATTTTTTATAGTCAATTAATATATATTTTTTAAATTATTTCTATTTTTTATAATAAAAATATTATATTTGTAATGTTACATTGTTATCAATCGGAATTCAGTTACGTACTATTATTTTGTACTATCTCTATTTATACTGTTATATTACGTACTACTGTTTTTTGTAATATCATCTTTCGTATCATTGAAATTTTTGTAATGCACTATTATTCACTATGTTACCAATCAGAGCCAATATGTTTGTCTATGAACCATTGCTTGAAAGCCGCCCAAGAGCAATATCAGTTTGAGGGACTAAAAAAATCTAGCAAATTAAAAAGATAAAGAGAGAGAGAAAGGAGAGATGAGATGATGACAAAACATAATATATAATTGAGCACATAGTACAAAATGGATATGGGTTTTTTTTTTGTCCCTATACAGAGGGATTGGGTTTTGTTTTCTTTGTCCCTATATTAAACAGGACCGATGAGAAACAAAGGTGGCTGGCTAAGATGTACGTATTAAGATAGTATAAAATAAAAAACGTTGTGAGTTTAGCAGTGGACGGATCTTTGACTTATATCCTTAATTTGCTATGCGACTGATGTGTATATCAGTTTTGTTGTAAGTTGTAACTAATTCACAATTAAACTGATCTTATACGATGTACGTATATCTTTCGATTTGATTATACGGATTAAATTTATATTAAACGGTAAAGAAATTTGGTTAACATTTAATTACAAGAGATCGTAATTTCCGATTGGTGATAAAGAATATAACCATGTAGAGACACGGTTATCAGTAGTTAGAAAAATAAAATAAACAGTGTGAGGTGTCCTATTATTTGGTAAATTAAATAACTAATTTAGTTTTGTCAAGAGAAAGGGAATTGATATCTAGAAATATAACAACGATTCTGAAACTAAAAAGTTATAAAATGGTAGAGCAGAGCTTACCACTCTAACAGATCCACGACATAAAATAGTTGTTGAACTTCTTTTAATATGCTTTATTTTCTTCTCATCAAAGCTTTCATTTATATGTTCGATCGATAACCTTGGAGTTACAGCACATAATTACCACTCACCAAGTCACACATCTTGACTATAGTTTGAAGATTATTTACCTGATTAATAAGTCCAATGACTATTGGACACCAATCAGTAGATAAATAGATAATCTTCACTAATCGTTCGATAATAGAAATGCGAAGCTTCAAGCTTCCACTAATTAGTAGACTCACACGTAGTTTGAATAAATCGGTAATGCGCGATAGACTATTTGTTTGAATAGTTACCGTTGTTTTTTCCCCTGCACACTTATGTTTTCATTTCGACAAGGCTTACTTTTATTTGTAATTAATGAAGTGTGCATGTTTTGTATACGACGTAGACAATGAGATGCCGTACGTATTCAAAATTAGCCGTGTTTTGTGGACTCTGGAAAATCAATCTATATAGGAAATTTAATTATTCCTTCAACGGTTCTTTACTAGTAGTAGCTAGTGTTTGGGTTTTTATATTTATAGTTTTTTGCTTTTTCAATAAACAAGTGTTGATAGTTCTTATATTAAAATAAAGACTCGGTTATTTTTCGTTTTCAGAAAACAAATTACAAATCCCAACAATAGTAAGGGAATTGATTGGAAAATGGAGAACTGATGGAGAACACGACAACACCTAGGTAGATGCCAGTTCAAAGAGTTCGTTCATAATTAATTTAGCTTACCTAACATTGTACTTATGTCTAATTTTCCATATCTAGTCTCACTTTATAGCGGATTTTAAATATCATATTGATTGAAACTTGAAAGCGAGAGAATTTTTATTTATACAAGAAAAAACAAAATTTAATTGGAAAAGACGTGTAAGAGGTTGGTGTGGTCAATTCAAAGTGGATTTTGGTATAAGTGTTATTAACGACTTTGGTCCTCTCTCCTCTTTCAAGCATTGATGCCCTTAACTTCTAGAACATTTACGTAAGACATATTTCTTTGGTT